CTATATTATACATATATACATGCATATATATATATATATATATATGATTATAGCAGTCATTTTCTGTATCCAGAATAGGCTCTATGGATATATAGAGTAAGACATGTCTGATTATTTTTGATGAAAGGTTCCAATATATATTATTTTTTGAAACCAAGTAATGGAGTGTTTGTGGTTTGTGGTTACAATAAAACAGAATACTTAAATGAAAAGTGTCCTAGAATATCCAGCATGTGTAAGGATGGGTGTGTGGTTTCTTTTCAGATATCTGACGATGAACAGAAGTGGTGGGTGAAAACGACCGAGAATCCAATTGATCATTACTTTCTAGGGTACGTAACACCTCAGATACCAGCTCAAGTGATCAATTTATCACAAAAGAAGCAATCCTGATTCCCTTGCGTGAGACCACTTCTTCTAAACAGTTTTTAACATTAGCCCATATGTTTGAGAAACTGAGTTTCTCTACATGTTTGGTATCAAAAGAGTGGTTTAAAAATGATAATGTTAACATTAAGTTGATAATTAAGATGATTAAGATGAGTAAAGAAGACAAAGAGGACGTGTAATCGCACTGCATGTTCTCAGATCCCCACTTCCTTTCAGCTCGAGGCGACGCCTGTGGCACCGTTTTCCCATGATGTTTGGAGATGAATGTTTGCACATGTCAGCCAAGACGTGGCTTCTTGGTAAACTTCATTCTGATTCTTCCATGTTGACTGTGTTCTGTGAACTTCATATTCAGTTACTGCCTGTCTTCCTTCTGAGTGAACATTCAGTAGTTTCTTCTTAATTTCTCATTGATGATGGTATCTCAGATTGCTGAGAGAAGCTCTTTCCAATGTGGATATTTTCAGTTCTTTTATCCTCAAGCTATTACTTTTAGACTAAGCTTAGTGCGTTCATAGTTGATAAACGGACAGATACATTTGCAGGGGTGAGCAGGCAGTACCTCCGTATCCCCTCGTTAGACGTCCCTGCCAACTCTCTTCCTGTTTCAGCCCACCTTTCTCTGGCTTAACATATGGTTGCTTTATCAAACGTGTAATTTTTACAGGTAATATCACTATCATATAAACCTCTTGACATGAATAATAGTAGAGGCAGAATTCACCAGTAAAGACCAAGAATATATTTTTACCATCAGGAGTGACTGCTCTAAAGAGCTTCTCTCAGGGCAGAAGGTAGACTTCAGACTATCCCTAGCACCAAAAGCTGTATGGTAAAGAAGGACCCTGTCTTTATTAGCCCTTGTTTTTAAAATGCACTCAATGAAAAATTCTCATCATCACAATTCCGGCTCTCCCTTTTCAGACTTAAGTAAACGAGCAGACTGTAATGACAAGTTGCCCTTCATCTGTGAAAAATACAATGTATCTTCATTAGAGAAATATAGTCCAGACCCTGCAGCTAAAGTACAGTGCACTGGGAAATGGATAGCTTTTCAGAATAAGGTAAGAAGAGATTCGTTGCACTGCACCAACCATGGTCGCTTTCGTGCTGCTTGGATGGCCTGTGGTAGAAGGGCAGCCTCTCAGACACCTCTCTGACAGAGCCTCCCACATGGCCTCTGTTCCCAGAAACGCAAGCAGCATCAAACTCACTTCTCAAGCTGTGACACCTACAGGTCTTTGTATTCTATTGTTCCCAACACCAACGTTGCTGCTGTTGACCTGTCAATGGCTTTCCATCCACTGGCTGGTCACTAACCCCACAGCCTGGGGAAATTGACTCCATTGAAGGGCCCTGCTTTCTTTCCTCCTTAAAGGAGAAAATCTAAGTAGCCTCTGTCAACTAGCCCAAGTCAGAAACCACACAGGTGCTACAAAATACTTAACCTTGATTTTGCCCACACGGGAGATAGGAGATGCAGTAGGTCTGGGGAATGGTGAGTTCTGCGCTTGCCTCTTTGGGATGCATGAGCCTTACTGATCTGTGTGTGTATTAGAGATTCATTGGGATGCTAGGAAGAAACTGTCACCTAATGTTAACACGTTCATTCTCTCACTTAGAAGAAGTGTAGAAGGGTATGGTCTAGGCTGGTGTGAAGACCCCACAAAGCCTTCAAGAGCAACAAGCTTCTTGATTCTGCCCTACCATATTCAACACAGGGCATCTCTGTTGGGAGTTGCAGTGGAGTCCTTCTGGGGCTGGAAATCACCCAGTGACTTTGCATGTGGCTCAACTTCCTTTCACCATCCAGTCTATAGGAAGGCCGAACACAATTGTAGAATGGTTCAGGGAACACAACTTGAGACAAGCTATCCCACCCTAACATGTGTTCCTAATCACAGAGAAAGGAAGAGATGGATTTGCCAGCAGAAGGGCCTGCAGCAAAGCAGGGGCCATTTTGACTTCTGGATTGGGGGAGGGGCAGCAATGCAGCTCTATCACTGAGCTACGTTCTCAGCCATGTTTTGACTTGAAAAAAAAAACACACACACACAGGATAATTTTTTTTTAATTCCTCCAACATGCTGGGATGATGCTGATTTACATAGTGACATAAACTTGAATTAAAATGCCCTACCCAGAAGAAAAGACAGGCGTCAGATATCAGGAGCAGTGAGTAAGAGCTTAGACTTTGCTCTCTGATAGAACAGACTCAGATAACCACTTCGCCGCTCTGCAGTTGCTTTGCGTCTGGGTCAAATTGCTTGACTTGCCTCAGCTTTCTCATTTGTTCTGAGAGTTAAATGAGACAAAGAGATGGCTGACTGAATACAAAAACTGCAGAGCAAGTAAGAGACACTGGACAAATGAGACATTTCTAAGATATGTGCAATAAGTAACGTGAGAACAACGCTTCACCATGCATTTGTGTTGGAAGTATAAATTTGAAGTCACATTCCTTTGCACATCTCACATGTTGACAGCAGCACACTAAAGATGAGGCGATCCTGCTTCTGGAGGTTTCTTGTGTCTGGAGTCTGAGGCTCCCTCTGTGTCTCTGTTTACAGTGCTTTCTAAAGGTCAACTCTGAGCCCGTTACGTTTTCTCAAGCAAGCAGCGTTTGTCATTCCTACGGTGGCACCCTCCCTTCTGTGCTGAGCCGGAGTGAACAAGGTACCAGAGTCCATGGGAAAGTGTGCCGTTTGTTTGTTTGTTTGTTTGTTTGTTTGTTTGTTTGTAATGGGGACAAACTAGGGCCTCAGCACAGCTTGGGAAGTGCTATATGCTGGAAACCTTGCTTTGTTCTGATTTGAGAGCCAAGTTAATTTTGAGAGGCTGTGGGGAATTAAGACAAAAATCATACAGTTATGCTACTTTCCTTTTGAGAAAGCAAGACGATATCTTGATAGATAATCCAAATGCCTTTTTACTTTTTTGCATTTGTGTGCGTGCGTGCGTGCGTGCGTGCGTGTGTGTGTGTGTGTGTGTGTGTGTGTGTGTTTACGTGCACGTATGTGGAGATCAGAGAACAACACGTCCTCCCTTTCCACCATGTAGGTCCTCACGTCTCTGGCCCTAACTGCTTTCCTAAAAATTTCTTCTTAACAGATTTTATTATATCCTTGCTCCCGGAAATGGAAGGCAGCCTATGGATTGGTCTGCGCTGGAGTGCCTATGAAAGGATAAGCAAATGGACAGATGACCGAGAGCTGACCTACAGCAACTTTCACCCGCTGCTGGTCGGTCGGAGGCTGAGCATACCAACAAATGTGAGTGAGTTGTATGTCAGTCATCTAGTTAGTACTGGGAAATGCTTGAGTCTCCGAAGGTTACTAGATACAAAACAATAACCTAGGGACCGGGGTGTAGCTCAAAAGAGTACTGTCCAAGCAAGCGCAAATCCAGCAGTTGATCTCCAGCAGCACATACAAACCAGGCAGCGTGGCACAAGTGTAACCCTGCACTTGGGAGACAGGGCCTGGAGAGCCAGCAGCTCAGTCACCCTTCTCTGTATAGTATGTTTGAGACCAGTCTGGGATATATGAAACCCTGTCCCAAAACATTTTTTTTAAATAACAAAAAAGGAATGGCCTAATGCACAGTTCCATTTATAAAACATGCTGCAAACAGGCAGATTAAGAAAGCTAGAGTTGGGACCTGGAGAGATGACTCAGGGGTTAAGAGCACTGACTGTTCTTCCAGAGGTCCTGAGTTCAATTCCCAGCAACCACATGGTGGCTCACAACCATCTGTAATGGAATATGATGATTCTTTTGGTGTGTCTGAAAAGAGCTACAGTGTCTCATATACATAAAATAAATAAATAGGAAGAAAGAGGGGGGGAGGGAGGGAGGGAGGAAGGAAGGAAGGAAGGAAGCAAGCTAGCTAGAGTTAGGAATAGTTTCCAAAGGCTAAGGAGTCTGGAAGGGAGGGTGATGCCATGGGGTACAAGGATTTTTTTTTTTAGAAAAGAGAAACTCATCTAACACTGACTGGAGTGATAGCTGTCCACTCTACACATACACTCAAAAACTCCAGACTGCACATGCTAAACCAGTGGCTTGCAGCCCAGTAGAGCTCTGAGAAGCACGGCCTCCAGGTGGGTGGGCCTGGCTTCCATAGCAGCAGGTTCCCCAGCATTTACTTCACAACCTGAGAGTGTCCAGAAACCAAAATAAATGTTTTACCTGACGTGAGGATGTGAGCTTCCACCTCGATCTCCCAAGACAAAAAGATAAAACAATGATGGGTGATAAGCCAGGCATGGTGGCGCATGCCTTTAATCCCAGCACTCTGGAGGCAGAGGCAGGTGGATCTCTGAGTTCAAGGCCAGCCTGGTCTACAAAGTGAGTTTCAGGACAGCCAGGACTACAGAAAGAAACCCTATCTAAAACAAAAAACAAACAAACAAAAACCCTACGTGTGAAATGGCATAGATTTTATTTCTGGGTGACATTCTCAATAATAGGGAGTAAGGCACTAGGGAGGGGGAAGGGCACTGTGTTGAAAGCAGTTATACAGACATCTTGAGATTGTCACAACAATTAAATTCCTGATGAGATTCTGTCCAAATATTAGAGGAAATATGGCCCTTCTGTCTGTCACCTAGTTTGGAAATGTGGTGTGCAGGATCTCCTCACTCACACTTCTGCCTTTAGGTCACTGTGAAAGTTTATGTAATTCCAGCTTCCTCTTGACTGTCTTACTGACACCCATCAAGCTTTTGCCTGGGGATTTTTGTACGATTTTCCTTTTCCCCATAGGCATCAATATCAGTTACTTTGGGGTCAAGGTAACTGCAAGGTCTGAACTCTTCAGGAGGAAGGTCTATTGTGAACCCGGGTTTCAGGTTTCTGTCCATGGTAGTGGTGGTGGGGGACATTGTACAGCAGAGTAATTCACATTGTGCTGGGCAGGGGGCAGAGGGGGAGGGCTGCTGCTCTCCGGCTTTCTCCCCTCCAATTTTATCCCTCACCACCCCCTTTTATAAGGTGTGGGTCCTCAGGCATGAAATGGTACCACCCACATTCAGGGTGGGTCTTTCTTCTTAAGGTTTTTCTCTATGAAATGCCCTCACAGCAGGCAGCCAGAGAGGCACCACACCAGTCCTTTTTTTTTTTTTTTTTTTTTTTTTTTGGTTGTTTTGTTTTGTCTTGTCCTGTTTTGTTTTGTTTTGTTTTGTTGAGACAAGGTTTCTCTGTGCAGTCCTTGCTGTCTTGGAACTTGCTCTGTAGACCAGGCTGGCATCAAATTCCCTGCTCTAACTGCCTCTGCCTTTAAACCCTGGGATAAAAGGCATGCACCATCACTGCATAGAGGCTCCACCAGCTTTATAGGTGATTCTGAATCCACTAGTTAACAGTGAAGATTAACCCGAACAGCATCTGTCGCCATAAATTTCTTACCACTTCTCTAGATTTTGTAAGTAGGTCTTCTGGGGATTCCTAATTAGGTCATCTCTAATCTGCGTAAGATGGTGAGCCTATAGCCTCTATGGCCTCTCCTCTCTTCTTCATCCTGTACTTCCCCACACTTGCTAGGACTTCCAGAAACGGGGACACAAAGGGAGGGGTCACCACCACCCTAGACTTGAAGGTTTGGTCTGGGGGTTAGCACACTGACCGCTCTGCAAGCTTTTGTTGGTAACTTTGTGATGACTGAGATGTAGTGTTCTGTTACAGGAGAATTTCCTATTTTCAATCAGAAAGAAACACTAGATTTTCTAAACCTTGTTCCCATCATCTTCAAAATATCACCGAGTTTTTCCCATCGGGCTGACTGGCAGATGGCAAAGCACACAAAGAGATTATGTTTCAGACGCCAGATCTCCTTGTTCTGAGTAGATTATTATTTATACCAACGTAGATTTGTTAGCGTTTCATTTGCTAATGCTTGCGTCTCTGCTCATCCGGTTGATTTTTTTTAAAGCTCTGTTAAGATGTTTTTCTTCCAGTCACGCTGCCATCACAAACTGAAGCGTGCAGCTTTCTGTCTTATCATTGTTCTGGAATCATGACCCCACCAGCGCTAATGAAGGAACTGTGTACACAATGCTAGACTCCTCTTTAACGACAGAGAGTCAAGGACCCAACCTCAAGGCCTCTGCCCGGGTTCAGGATGCCTTTGGAAGTTTATTTAGATCTTTCTAAGATCAATTTCCCACTCTTAAGTTCCAGTGCTATCATAGGGTCAATATAATAATTGAATAAAAATCATTCATTTCAAGTTTTACTCTAGTACGCATAAGTATTTTTCAACATCCACTAGTGTCAATTTTCAATTTTCCCCAGGCGTACTGGCACATTTAGGAGTTTGATGTTTCTCTATGAATAAAAGAAGTCATCTGTACCACTGACATTCTGAAGTGGATTAAAATAAATATGTGTATGGTTTTGTTTTTTAATCCCATAACTTAGTGGTTGTGCAAAACAAAATAGAATACTGTGTAGTTTTACAAAGAACCCATACTAAATCCGACTATTGTGCAGGCATCAGCAGTCATGACTAGCCCCACCCCTACTCCCTCACCCCCACTCCCCCATCCCCAACCCCTCCGCCCACCCCCTCCCATTTCTCAGACAATCCACCCCTGTGGCTGGCCCACAGAATGCTAGCTACTGCTCACTCAGCTCCCCTTAGCCCCGTGAAATGAAAACACTAGACTTCTATTATACCAGCCAGATTTATAACGGTAAACCTCCAACCCCAAAATGCCTGTGCAAAGGACACAAAACTCAATTGGTATAACTATAAGCTGCACACCTAGATTTGGCAAATATACTCTATGAACTCCCTAGCTACTTGCAGCTCCTCCAAGCCATGTGAGTCTGCTCCATCTTCAACCTCTTCTTCCTCCATCTTCTCCCTCTTCTTCCTCCATCTTCTCCCTCCATCCTCCGTCTCTCTCTTCTTTCTCCTTCTCTCCCTTCTCTAAAACTTTCAGTTCCGCCTTTTCCTTCTACTGACCAATCACAGGCTCTAGCCTTATCTGACCAATTAAGAGTTCACCTGACCTCACCTGAGTACTTGATCTACTTCTCGTCGGGGAACCTGTTTTAAGGGAGCAGAAAATACAAACAACAATCCACAACAAAATAGGATGTATGTCTTTGGTTCTTTGCACTGTCTCCAACATCCAGTACAGTCCTTTAATTATAGTGATCGATATTACATCTATTACATTTTCTATTCTGTTTTTTGTAGAATTATCCAGTCCCCCATGTTGAATTCTTCATTTCTCCCCTTTTTAAAATATATTTAATAATGCATATTTTCTCTATATAAGTTTTTATCCTATCCCCCTTTGATTATTTCTCATTATTTTCTATATTTACTTTTTTTCTGTTTTCATTTAACACTTATTTAGTGATTTAATTTTTTAATCTGTCACTCCTGGCCTAAGCTTGTCTTTCTTTGTGTTTTTTAAACATATGTTTATTTATTTTGTATACATGTGTACATGCATGTTTGCATGTGGGTTCGTGCCACTGTACATGTGAGGATATCAGAGGACAACCCATGTGAGCTGGCTTCCACTTTTCACCACGTGGAATCCAGGTGTGAAACTCAGGTGGTCAGGCTTGGCTGCAAGCACCTTTACCCACGGAGCCATCTTGCATCCCCTTTTCTTAGCATTACATGCTGAACAATGCTAGTAATAGAACTACATCTCAGTGTTTTTATTTTAATATAAAGGTTCCATAATGGGTAATGTAGGAGATGAACTTCAAAGAGAACTTTCTAGTATGCAGTACAGTTAACTATTATAAAATGTTTATAAAGGGGCTGGAAAGATGTCTCAGTGGGTAAGGCCCTTGCCATACAGACAGGAGGACATGAATTGATCCCTGAGCCTACATAAATGACAGATGTACAGCACAAGCCTATATCCCAGCACTGGGGAGGCAGACAGAGGGGAAATCCCTGAGTCTTGCTCTCCTGCTAGTCTGGTTGAGTCAGAGAGCAGCAGGTGAGAGTCCCTTGTCTCAAAAATTAGTGGAAAATTTTGAGGAAAAAAAAACAATATCAACCCACGTACTGTGAATATGCAGCCACACACATGCTCGTGAGCATATACCCAAACATGTACACACACACACACACACACACACACACACACACAGAGTATCCACAGCTATTAAATGGATTGTCTTTTGCTTAGTTGGGTTATCAAGACTGACTTCAGAGAGTTTAGAATTCCTGTAGTTGTTTTTGTCCTGTTTCTAAGAGGTTTTCCTTATCTGTTTAATAAAAGTATGTGCATCTATGTGAACACTTTTTCATTTCTAAAGTTAACTGCCTTTTTCTAGACCTTAAATGTTAGTCATGGTTTTGTTTTTGTTCTTTAGAAAGTCTATGGTAAGTTCTTTCATGAGTTGTTTTGGTTCTTTCATTATTGTTGTTTTGTTTTGTGTAGTTTTTGGGTTTTTTGTTTTGTTTTATTTTTTGTTGGTTGGTTGGTTGGATAGTTAGATGGATGGATAGATGGATGGATGGATGGATGGATGGATGGATGGATGGATGGATGGATGGATGGATGGTTGGATGGATGGTTGGTTGGTTGGTTGGTTGGTTGGTTGGTTGGTTGGTTGGTTGGTTAGATAGTTGGATGGTTGGTTGGTTGGTTAGATGGTTGGTTGGATGGATGGATGGATGTGTGGATGGATGGATGGATGGTTGGTTTTTTGGTTAGTTGGTTTGTATGGGGAAGAAGAAACATCAACTTAAAATTCAAAATTTTCTTTCAAGGATCTTTAGAATATCAGTTCCATGACTGCACTAATATTTGCCTTTCTTTTTAGTTCTTTGATGATGAGTCTCACTTCCATTGTGCCTTGATTCTTAATCTCAAAAAGTCACCGCTTACTGGGACCTGGAATTTTACTTCCTGTTCAGAACGCCACTCTCTGTCTCTCTGTCAGAAGTACTCAGGTATTATTAATCTCACTGGGCAACAGTAAGATCACTACCACCATTTTTGAGCCAAATTTGAAGCAAGCTTTATGAAACACTTGCCAGAAAGATGGACACTGGCCAGGTCCATACATAGGATTTCTAGATAATGTACTTCCTGCCTTTGTCCAACAGGGGACAAGAACACATCCTGATGTACTGCCTATATATCACCCACCTACATGTGATTAAGCACATGCTGTGCAATTGGTGCTACCAATCTTGTTTATAAAAGTGAAACTATATGGCTTCCTATCTTATATGAACAGCCCCCCCCCCCCCAGCATTCAGGAAGTTATTTTGGGCAAGTGGGGCACTTACAGGCTATTACATGTTAGAGGCATTTTTTTGTTTTATAAATCTCTTAAGCACGGTAATTAAAACTTAAGACTTAACTTTAGCCTTCACAGTATCATCTGTCACCTAGATATCTACCACTCTTTATGCTGTTAGATACATAGGGTTCCTTTTGCCGAAAGTCTTACAAATGAATTTGTATCATTTTATAGTTATGTAGCTTACATTTTTAGCATAGATAAGTTCATATTGACACAATGAGGCAGATTATCTCATAAGACTATGCTTTTTCCTCAAGTATTATTGCCACAGTTAAATATAAATATTAAATCTATGGTGGAAGACGTTAATAGTTTCCTAATAAAAGTCATAGTTCAATACTCTAATAAGCTAGGGTTCAATGTTCTTTCCATTCAGACACTTGGCAGATTTTAGTTTTTATGGGAAGAAAAGTGCAGTACTGTACAAACACTGTTGAATTCAGCTGACTGAAATGATAGGAAACACTACGTATGAAGCAGTCTGCACCTTTCCATAGTCAGGTACTACATGTACTTCAAAAGTAGAAACCACCCACACTGGGTGGCACACTCTCTTAATCCCAGCACTCGGGAGCAAAAGGAAGATGAATCTGTAAATTCAAGGCCAGCCTGAGCTACATAGTGAGTTCCAGGACAGCCAGGGCTATATAGTAAGAGAAAAAAAATGAAATAGAAACCATCCAGGTTTTTTTATAATATATTACATTATTTTTAATTGACCATGATAAGGTTTTATTATATGTTGCATTATTTTTAGTTGACCATGATAAGATTTTAATGAGTGTTTAAATAAAAGATTTTGTTTAAACATTTATTATTTATTTTTTATTTTATTTATTATTTATAAGGCTCATATGCCACGTACCTTAGCAAAGCTTTTCTTGCTAAGTTAGTCTTTGCCCCTTATCCCATGCTCTCTAATGACTTCCTTATTCAGATAAGAACCCTTAAGCCTCCTGGGTGACTTTCTCCTCCCGAATGAAAGCAACTAACCAAAAGTGTCCTGATTTCAGAAATGGGAAGTTCCAAGTCAGATATTTCACCTAAGCCATTGAGCAAGATATGTCTAAGTCACTCAACAAAAAGCTAACATAAATAGGCAAGTGGTGTCTGAAGTAAATCAGGAAGGGGTGAAATCTGGCAGACCTCCATGCCTTTGCACAGAGAGTGGGAGGAGCTGCTGTTCTCATTTTCTTTTATAAATAGAAACTGAAGACAGACAGCCCTGGGAGAACACTTCAGAAACTGTGAAGTATCTAAATAACCTGTACAAAATCATCTCAAAACCCTTGACTTGGCACGGTGCTCTGAAGGAGTGTCTGAAGGAGAGCATGCGGCTGGTGAGCATCACAGACCCTTACCAGCAGGCCTTCCTCTCGGTGCAGGCCTCTCTGCGCAACACCTCCTTCTGGATCGGACTCTCCAGCCAAGATGTAAGTTTTCCTTGCCTCCCATTAACTCCTCTCGTAAACCAAATGAAAGCAGCATCTTAAATCTTATGCAGTTAACTTCATGAATGTCTATGTGTATGTCTTTTGATTCAGGTGAGAGTGACTCATTGACCATTTCTTTTTATTTTATTTTGTTGACTGACCTAGAATCAGAAGTTGTCAGATATCTAACACTAATAAAGTTTGGTGTGGTAAAGTGCAGAGAATTTTCCATCGTTTTTCAGAGTTAATAGAAAGAAGTTAAAACACACAGGCAAACAAGAGACCCTGTCTCAGACAAAGGTAAAGACTAGCACCTAGCATTGCTTAGACCTCCAAACCCGAAACATGGCACATGTGTGCCAGTGCATGAACACATACATACACAGACACATGGTCGTCACACACCCAGACATGCCCACATCTCACACACAGAGATATACACACACAGACATGCACGCATCACACACACATCGACATGTGCACATCTCACACATACATACATACACACACATGCATACCACACAAAAACACATCACACACACACCTACACACACATACATGTACATATCACAAAAACACAGGGATATCACAAACACATACATGCACATATCACACATACATGCACACATCATACACACATACATATACACTTAAAATTGTAAAATATAATAAAGTTAAAAAAAGAAAAATTAAAGTCACTTGTATTATAGTTACTGTTATCAAGGTGTGGTGACTTCATACTTGTAATCCCAACACTTCCTGAAGCAGGAGGATTATCATAAATTCAGTGCCAGCCTGGGCTAGAGAACGAGGTCCAGGTGAGCCCAAGCTGTAGAGTAGAATTTTCACTGTTTAATGGAAAGTCTCTGTTATCAAAGTATCAAAGTATCAGAAGCTTACACATGGTTTAGTATTTTACTGTGTATTCTTGAGTTGCTGTTTTAAGGATTTATTATTAAAGCAGTTTGAGTCATGTCTCATAATTTTCCTCATTTTCCACTTAATGAATGTAATATTTTCATTGGTCTATTTTCTATTATTATTACTATTATTAGTGGTGGTGGTGGTGAGGGTGTGTGTGTGTGTGTGTGTGTGTGTGAGAGAGGGGGGGGGGGAGGGGCACATGTGGAGATCAGAGGACAACTTTGTGGAGTCTGTTCTCTCCTCCCACCTTTTTGTGGGTTGCTGGGAGGGAACTCAGCAAGTGTTCTTCCCCCCAAACCATCTTGCTAGCCTCTCTCTCTTGACAAGTGGTTCTCTTTCCCTTCTCCCTTATGTTACATATTCTGTGTGTCTGTTGTCTATATGTCTTCATAAACTGCCTTAAGTCTTTCCAACAAAACAGGGTTGTAACATTGTGTATCAAAAACAACTGAAGATTTTTAAACAAAATAGAAATAATGTAGAAATACAAATTTGAGTAGCACGTCACTAGTGAAGTATAGATCAGGAGCATGGAGCCTGCAGTTATGAGGTCGGTTATTTTTATATACAACCATAAAGAAACTGACGTTGGCCTGAGGTAAAGCATGCTCACTGGATCTCAAGTATAGCGATTCTGGGCTGCATGAAATCCAGAGCAGGGTCACAGCATGGGTCATTTAAGTATGTAAGACATCCCAAAGTCAGTGATTGGGACAGAGTGATGAAGTATGACTCAGGACACTGCAGTGACCATCAAGAAGGAACAGGGGAAACAAGTCCTGTGTGAGAGACATGTCAGAGAGAGACAAGGATCCTGGCAGAGTGCTTGTACATGAAAGGACATCAAGGGTCATCAAAGGAGACAATGCTTACTGCCCCTCCTTACAGCCCTTTAGTTCTAAGAACAGAAGAAGGGACAGGTTTCCCTTGTGCAGCTGAAAGCCTGGTGTTAGCATGAAAAAGCCAGGTTCAAATCAAGATCAATGAAGGGGCAGATGTTAAAAGCTTAGGTATTTATAGTCTTGATCAGGGGATTTCACATTCAATACAGAGAAGTGGGGAAGGAGGAGATATCTGTGGTGGAAGAAAGCTCCAAAGGCCATTGCCAGGGGCTGGTGGCAAATGCAGCACAGAGGAAGAATGTAGGACAGTGTCAGCCAAAGTGTAGGGAAAACTATGTTTCCTAGGGGGGAAGATTAAAGCCCCACAGTGGCTTAGGAATTCACTGATAGAGCATTTGCCTAGCACCCATGATGCCCTGGATTCAACCACTAGCATTACCAAAATAATGAAGCATTTGGTAGTGCTGGGTTTGGCCATTACCTGGTTTGGACCTTCCCTTGGTCCTCAGAAAGACTCAACCCTTTAATGCAATTGGGCCAGCAATGGTTATTAAGGCCTAGTGCCCTGGTGGTACCAGAGGAAAACTTCATAACTATCCTGGAACTCCCATGTCAACTACATCAAGCCATTCTCAAGAGAGGTGGGTGATCAGGTCTTGTCAAGTTCTAAAGACAAGTGTTTAGAAGATTCTAGATTGATCTCTAACACTGAAAGGGAAGCTGCCTTGATCCAAAGACCAGTGTGAGCAGTAGTATAAGATACACAGGCTTGAAGAGTTGAGACTAAGGAATGAATGTTTCTGTAGCTCTGGGTACCAGCCTGCTCCTGGTTGTGCATTTTACACTAGTCTGGTCTTGTGTCTCAGCCACTTCACAGATGGAGGACTGGAAAGATGGAGAGTCAGTCTCACTAATCAAAAGCTTATAAGTGATTGGACCATGGTTTACAACCACACAGGTTCCTTCCTTTCTGTTCTTTCTAGTATGCCACGTTGTTTCCAGAGTATTCCATACACGGAGTGGTCCTCACTCTGTTCGGATTTCTGGTTTCCAACGAACAATTCTGATGTCTGTGAGCAGCATTTAGTTAGGACCAGAGTCTAGGGTCTAACAGCCTGAACAGGGTTCCAGCCGCACTCACTCTCAGTGACCTGTGAAAGGGCCATGATACCAAGGCTCGCTCAGACAGATGTCACAAGGAGTCAAACATTTAAGACAGTGCTTAACACAGTACAAAATGGAACTAATTATCATTTGATCTCCTAGGTTAAAATAATATAAAAGAGATAATGTCGATATTACCTCTGAAACAAATTTCTGCACCTCATAGGATGAACTCAACTTTGGTTGGTCAGACGGGAAACGCCTTCATTTCAGTAACTGGGCTGGAAGCAATGAGCAACTTGAAGACTGTGTGATCTTAGACACGGATGGATTCTGGAAAACAGCCGACTGTGATGATAACCAGCCGGGTGCCATTTGCTACTATCCAGGAAGTATGTGAACTGCGACTGTTTTCATTCCATTACTCATCCCCGGTAGTAGAATTTTACCTGTTTGGTTTTGCAAAATTAAGGGATTATAAGAAAATCATTATCATGTCCTTTTTCAAAATGTATTTTTATTATGTGTATGGGGTGTGTGGGTAGTATGCATGTTTGTGCACTGTGTGCATGCCTAGTGTCCATCAAGCCAGAAGAGGACATCAGATCCCTGGAACTGGAGTCACAGATGTTGTGAGCCACCATATAAGTGCTGAGAATCAAACCAGGTCCTTGGGGAGAGCAGACATCTTTTAACCACAGAGCTATCCCCAGTTCCCACCATAGTCATTTTCCCCCAACAGAACTGGTACAAGGATTTGTACTCAGAATTATTGGTTACAGATTGCTTTGACCTTAGTTTGGAGTTTGTCTTTTGTATACCAGCTGACTGTGTTGATTGACAGTGATTGGCATATACAGTCGCATCTTCGCTTCACCTCAAGACACATGTAGTTTTATTTATATATACTTACGAAGCTAACTTATGGGAACTCTTTCTTAATTAATGCTTAACATCAACGACTAACATCTTAAGCTACTGGTAAAATTCCAGACATGGTGGCACATACGTTTAAGCTCAGTACTCAGAGGTGGAACAGAAGACCAACCAAGCCTAGCCAAGCCTAGCCAAGCCTGGGCTGCCAGGCAAGAAACAAAACAACGAACAAACAAACAAAGGCTCAGTTGATTATGTGGAGCCGCACATGCTTGAGGCAGCTCCAGTCAAATGGGAATTTAGAACACTGCCCTGCAAACAAGGACAGAACTCAACCACCAGGAGACGGGCTTCAGACACCCAGGTCTAGGAAGTCTCAGGCAGGGAGTTCTCCTGGTCTACATAGGAAATTCCAGGCCGGCCAAGGCTACATAGCAAGACACTGTCCCAAAACACAAAAATAAAACAAACAAAAATCTCCTGACACCAACAAGAAAACAGAAACCCAGAGATGTGCCGTGTGCCTGTCCTTGTTCTTTCTGTCTCTCTCTGCCTCTGCACTCTGCTCTTGTCAACCTTCTGCTCTCTCTGCGCAGTAACTGTAGCAGGACGTGACTGCTCCCCAACTCTCTCTTCTGCCTCTCATGAGGTGAGTGAATGATGTCTGAATCCCACTTTTCAAACTACAGGATCCAATGGGCTCAGCTGAGTCAAATATGCAGTCACCATCCCAATCCGGGGCCCACATCCCTGTGTTTGTGGTAGAAAGAACTTACTATTTCCGAGACAAAGGGATTTGTTGCAAAATGGGAGAAAAATGCCCGATAGTCTCTAAGACATAATGAATCTCTGAATTATTTTGAGTTTAGCATCCTCTTGAGTATATTACTTTTTCATAGAATAAAAGAATAAATCAGATACTCTAAAGGCCATTTTCTGAATGATACTTCTGTTTAATTTTGTTAAAAGAATAACTGTTTCATTAGAGTTATTTCATTAAAATTAGAGATATCAGTAAGCAGAAATTCGAGAGTGAAGCTCACGGTTACCGTTAGATGCCTGTTGTTAATTAATACGTTTATAGAGTGCCTCTGAAGAGGCTCCCGGCCCTTGACATTTAATAAGACAGGAAGATAGAAACTCGTGTAACCTAAAAACACCTCATTTTTTTCCACATTCCTCCACTCCACAGCAGGAGTAAGAAAATAATGTCAAATAATTTCCTCACCACCGAATGCCAGCATGCTTCGCGCTACATGCAAGCGTAAACAGAGCGAGGCTGTTACTTCCTCACTTCCTGCGTGTTTCCCACAAATCAAGTTTAATGACTGTGAACAGGATTTAACATTTACATCTGAAATTAGAGTTCTTACCCTTAACTTTTTCTTTCCCCAGATGAGACTGAGGAGGAGGTCAGACCACTGGACAGTGCTAAATGTCCGTCTCCCGTGCAGAGCACCCCATGGATACCATTCCAGAACTCATGCTACAATTTCATGATCACAAAGAACAGGCATAAGACGGTCACTCCAGAGGAAGTGCAGTCCATGTGCAAGAAGCTGCGTAAGTATGCTCTGCCACCATCGTGCATGGGACACACTCACTCTTCACATCACCTGGTATGAAGATCCATCCCCAAGTAGCACTGGTAACTAACTCTCCTAATTCTCACACTAGAGAACAGAAAAGTGGTCCTCAAGCTAGACTGACCAAAACGAGCAGGTCACCCCAAGTGGCAGAAAACTCACTTACACCAGTAATTAGAGAGCCATGGTCAAAGAGATTGACCTTGATCTCAGACCTGGAAGAATTCCCAGCAACACCCTGAGGGTCTGTAACTTTTGAATAATGGAACAAAAGGAACCATGAGCTTTATGCAGAGGTCCTATGGAAAGTATTATGTCACTATCCCCCAAAGTGCACTGCATCTTAAGAACACTTGTTTCTAAAATAAAATAAAGATAGGGTAAGGTTTGAGGAACATTAGACTGAATACCCTCTGTATCAAAGTACATCAAGAGATACTTTAAGAAATGCTGGCATAACATATGAACTCACAGAGACTGAGGCAGCAGGCACAGGGCCTGATACGATCCTAGAGCTAAAAAGAAAAAACGGACACATGCTCCCATCCCTAACCCAGGACTTATCTAATTGATAACCACTTGCAAATGAAAGCTTAGTTTTCTCCAAGGGAGTTTCACTGGGGAAGGCAACTACTCTTAAAGGTAGGCTGCATGCCCAGCAGTAGACGGCCAACAGAAAATGAACTCAACGGCATCTTTGGAGGGTCGTTGTCTCTTAATGTCATGCAGGGCTTTTCCTTTTAACTGTTTTTTAATTATTGTTTGTTGTATCTTTTTAATTTTTATTTACTCTTCAGGTCTTTTGTATATAGATTATGGCTTCTGGTTTTGTTTTTTATGGGGCTTCTAAATATGTGGGTGAGTGGCATCCGTATCTCTTTCCTGTGCATTCTCTTGGGTTCTTATCCTTCTGTTGGTTTTTATTCTGTCTTATTTGGTATAATTTTATTACTATCCCTTAGATGCCTGTTCGTTTTCTAATGAGAGACAGAAGGGGGTTGTATCCAGGTGGGGGGAGGGAGGTGGGCAGAAACTTGGGGGGAGTAGAGGGAGGAAAAACCATAATCAGGATATAGTGTATGAAGAAAAATCTATTTTCAATAATAAAAAATAAAATAAAAACAACAATAAAAAAGAAACACTGGCATAAATGAACTAGCTTAACTTTGTATCTAGTGCTTCCAAATGTTTTATCCTATGTTTATGTACTATTTCTGGGAAACTCCTTTGATTTTTTTTCTGAGGAACTCATTTTGGAAAAAATAACTTTCTTTAACACTAATGTAGCAGTAATGTCTAAGGAAGAGATACTTACTATAAAACTTACTATAGCCCATTATGAGGTTTAGAAGGAAATGATGTAATCATATTTAAAATTATAATAAAGTTTTGTTTCTTACAGAGTAGTCTAACAGCATCCCATTAATAGCACATAGATTTGTGCCATCGGAAAGTGAGCTTTAAATGAAGGAAACATAAAGTGGATGACTTAAGTTCTCTACTCAGATACCAAATTCCCCATGTCCCGTGGGCCAGATATACAGCAGAATGTTTGAACACTGCATAGCCTGTCATCTTTGTAAGCACACACAGTTTCAGTGTGTGTGTGTGTGTGTGTGTGTGTGTGTGTGTGTGTGTGTTTCTAGTATTCCTATACTATCTAAATTTTAAAGGTATAAAACTGGGGAGTAGAACTTCCTGGTTCTTTCAACCAAAACAATAATCTGTACAAAACAATTATAAAAGCTGGCCTTTTCTATTTTGACAGATTCGAAAGCACATAGTCTGAGTATTCGAAATGAGGAGGAGAATACTTTTGTTGTGGAACAGCTTCTGTACTTCAATTACATTGCCTCATGGGTCATGTTAGGAATAACCTATGAAAGTAAGTGGTAATGCAGGTTATTCGGTTAGCACTTCATTATAACCTATTTATCAAATTACAAAATACAGTCCTTTAGAGAATATGTTTAATGATGCACCAGGATGTGTTATATATTTAACCCAGCATGTAACAATACCAGTAAAGTTTTTGTGTGTCTGCTCTGCCACTGACACAGCCTTACCCCCAATCTTAGAATTACATGGTTGATGAGTAACTGCATCTCCACTCTTCCTTCTGGCAACTCAAGACTAACTAGAAATGACCACAGTCCTATATAAAATCACGAACTTGTGTGAGAAGAACAAACACAAGGTTGCATTTCTATTAATGCTGCCCCTTTGGGTTTATAGTATTATCTTAGGGTATGTGTATGAGAAGCAACAGAAGAATAAGATTCATAGTCTAACGGTTGGGTAGGATATTTGAAATTAGATTAAATACCATGTTTCCAAATTGATATGGACAAACCTTAAAATCCTGTGTCTAATAGGGAGTAAATGAGACCAATTTAGAAAGGAAATTAGAGGTATCCTGAAGTTCATGGAGGTGTTGATAATGGGGTGGGGGGATCAGTCTGTAGGCGTGTCGTGGAGAGTCTGGCGTTTCTTCTCTTCTCAACACTACTAATAGTCATGGCTCTTGAACTCCTAAAAAAGAAAAATCTGAATGGACACAGTAGTAGACCAAGCTGCAGAACTGCATTAGAGCAAAGAAGGAAGCAATACACCCTTTAGAGAAGGAGCAGACCCAGGCCTGGTCCCAGCAGGCCATGGCTCCTGGCTCTCCCTGCCTTCTCCTGTGCTTCCCCTAGAGTGGGCACTTTCGGAGCTGTGCTTCCCCAAGAAGCCCTTTCCACCAGGGTTCAGTCAGTGTAAGTAGATGTGTAAGATGTGGGACTATGTATAAGAATTTATGTATTCTTAAAATTGACAAGTTTTTTAGGGTACATTGCTCAGTGCTTGTTCCCCTGGAAAAGACTGTACAGAGCAGAAGGGGCCAAACTCAGGCCTAAACACTTGAATTTTACCCTCTGGGAATGGAATGCATATGACACGAAACTAGAAAAGGACTGTCCATCATATGGGGAGGGAGACCAACAGGAGTGGCGCTGGGGACAGATGGCATGAAGATGACATCAGGAAGCCATTGCCTTCTATGCTAACTTAGAAACTTAGTGAAATAAATTATATCCTCTTGTGTATTTTGTCGTGGTAGTATCAGCAACAATTGAAAAATATATTCTCTATGAAAACATCTTCAGATCTGAAGACTCCTGTTAAGTTTCCCCAACTTCTTCTATCAAATGCATAACTAACAAATTGTTTTACTAAAATATATGGACATCTGAGGCATGTATAGAATGTTCTTTTAAGAAAGTGGAGTTTAAATGTAATTCTTACTGATCTAATTTATATCTAGGAATCACTATTTTTAGTTATTTCAAAACATGTATAGAATATACAAAGAGTTTGGAGTCTTAACGGTGTTTTGTTTTGTTTTGTTTTGTTTTGTTTTGTTTTGTTTTGTTTTTTGAGACAGAGTTTCTCTGTGTAACTCTGACTGTTCTGAACTCATTTATGTTCAGCCTGGCCTCGAACTCACAGAGATCTGCCTGCTTCTGCCTCCTGAGTGCTGGGATTAAAGATGTGTGTCACCATGCCTGGCTGTGCCATCTGACTTTCAGTAGTGAAGCCATGAATAGAAGATGGTGATCAGGGAAAGAAAAGAGCAGGATAATTGGGGTGTGTGGCTAATGGTGACACAATTTCTAATGACAGTTTTTCAGACTCCTTATTGAGAAACGTTCCTTTGTGTACTCCAAAGCCACACTGAAAACCAGTGTTTCTTTTATGTGTTCTCTGGTTTTTGCTCTTACATCTATCTACATGTATGGTCTATTTTGAGTTAATTTTTTATTAAGGTAAGAGCAAAGAGCTCACATTCATAATTTTGTATGTGAATATCCAGCTATTTAGCACTGTTTGTTGAGAAGCCTGTTCTCTGCATTAAAATGAAATGTGTTAAAAAATCTTTCACTTTTGAGTATGCGCAATTGTGTCCAGAGGAAATAATTTCTTTTATAAATTTTATAAGAAATAGAGAATTTTAAAAATTTGTTATAATCATTACTGTTACAGTTTAAAGTATATGTAAGAAGAATGAATATTTGATGAAGAGTAGCAGGCTATTAAAGAGTGGAATTATAGTTAAAATTTTCATATTATAATTTACATTTTCAAGTTAAATAAACACAATTTACTGTAACATTAGAAGACATTTTTTTAAAGATATAGTTAATCACACAACCTTTTAGAAGGTATGGAAAGGAGAAAATAAATCATTGATTTGAAATACTAAAATTGAAACTGAAATTTTGATTTAGTCTCTTAAATATAGAAAAATGTGTTTCTTTCCTAGACAATTCTTTGATGTGGTTTGATAAAACTGCATTGTCCTACACACACTGGAGAATGGGAAGACCGACTGTGAAAAATGGCAAATTTTTGGCTGGTCTAAGTACTGATGGCTTCTGGGATATTCAGTCCTTCAATGTTATTGAAGAAACACTTCGTTTTTACCAGCACAGCATTTTTGCTTGTAAAATTGAAATGGGTAAGAGTCTTAGTCACTTTTTTGTTGCTGTGATAAAATACCCTGTATTGTGGGGTTTTCATGGCTCCTGATTGAGGTTTTAATTAACATGCAGAGACTTCTCTGTAGTTGGTATGCCTTTTGCTGAAGCAGTCTCTCAGCTAGCCCATTTAAACTTATCCTAACTTCTCCACCATCCCATCTCCACACGAGGTTCATACTGCCTGCTTATAGCTCTGTTCCGTCTCTCTTCTGGTCTTTCCCAAGTCTCCCTTGGCCTCCCTGAGTCTCTTGCATGCTTCTCTGACCAGAAGTCCTACCCCTGTACTTCCTGCCCCAGCTCTGGGCATCTCTTAGGCTTGGTCCATCTCTTAGGCTGCCTTAAGTCATAGAGGGCTACCTGACCTTCATCTTGGAGCAGGTGAAAAAGGACAAGTATTTACAAAAAGAAAACCGGTGATGGGCCATAGAAATTACAGTTCCAACATCCTGCCAGCAATTAGCCCTCTGTCAGTACAGCAGTCAACAACTGAACACACGGGGACATACCTTCATACAATATAAGGGAAGGTTACCCCAACAGCACTGACAAAAACAACTTAAGAGAGAAAGGATTTATCTGGGATTATAGTTCTAGGGGATATGGCCAATCATGGTGGGGACGACATGACAGCAGACAGGGGTGGGGAGGACTGATGGCAGGAGCAGGAGGCTGTCACATTGCCACACACAGAAAGTAAACAGGAAGTACAACAGGACTATATAGCCTCCAGCTCAGTCCAGCAACCCACTTTTTTCAATGAGGCTCTGCCTCCTGAAGGTTCTACTTCCCCAAACAGTGTCATCAGCCCAGCAGGGACATTTCATATTCAAACCACAGCAGTAAATATGAGACTGTGTGGTCTCACTCCAGAGGAGGGTGTAAGACCACTAGCTCTGCTAGTGACATACATGTAACGGCATGTATGTCTGCAGAGCTTGCTTTCCATTTAGTTGCACACACGTGTGGAACGGCAGAGGTTACAAAGAAAACAAAACCCTGGCCTCTGCAGTCCTGGTCTCAGACTGTAGGGAAACATTGCTGACGAAACAACATTAACGTTTTTATCCTTTGGAGGCAAGACTTAGATTATTTGGTTAAACATGGGGCTCAGAGAGAATTAGGAGGTAGCACTTCATAGTTGAATCTTGAAAGAGGGATATAACTTTTATAGAAAGAAAGAAAGAGGGAGGGATGGAGGGAGGGAGGGAGGGAGGGAGGGAGGAAGGAAGGAAGGAAGGAAGGAAGGAAGGAAGGAAGGAAGGAAGGAAAAGAATGTGCAGATAGAATTTTGACATTCCAGGCAAAATGCTTGTCTTCAGTCTTGTCTAATCCTTAAATAAACCTGTTTTGAAATGTAAATTATGTAAAATTTATTATCAGCTTAAAAACTTTATAGTGATCAGCCTGCCGTAAGCCCTCTGCTGAGGTGGGGGCATGACGGACGCCATGAATCGTGGCCGTGGACCATCTCTGCTCCGGGTGCAGCAGAGTAATGTGCTAGAGACCTGCCCCTCCAGTGTTCTTGTCTAGTCAGTCGTTCTGAGTTCTTATACGCGCTTACGATGTTAGGCTCTGCCTCTCTTCCTAATGTCTAAGCTTCTCCCACTTTCTCCTTCCTTGTCACTGAACATCTTATCCTCAACTTTGTAGTTCTCTGTATGCCCAGCTACGGATTGGTAGGTTTGTTTGTTTTCTTCTTGCCAAAATGGTTTCCATCTTTTAATAATGCACTTTAATACAATATACATTTTACACTAGGTTTAGATTTGCAGAGAAGTTGCACAGTTAGAACTGAAAATTCTCACTACTCCACAACCAATTTTCCTGTTGCTGACGTCTTTAGTATGTCATTCGTGTGGTACCTTTATCACAATGAATAAATCAACATCGATGGTGAATAAGAATTAACCAAAGCCTGGCATCATTCATATACCCCCAGTTTTGGGCAGGTTTTTTTTGTTTTGTTTTGTTTTGTTTTGCTTGGTTGGTTTTGTTGCTGTTGTTGTTGTTTGGTTAGTTTTGGGTTTTGAGACAGGGTTTCTTTGTGTAATTTTGGCTGTTCTGGAACTTGCTCTGTAGACCAGGCTGGCCTCAAACTCAGATATCCAACTGCCTCTGCTTCCCGAGTGCTGGAATTAAAGGCATGTACCACCAAGCCCAGCCTTGTATCCCCGTAGTTTTTACTTAGTGTTCTTTTCTATTCAGATATTCATGCAGGATATTGCATGAGACTTAGCCATGTTTCCTCTTGTGAAGACATCTCTTATTTTTGATAACTTGACAGTTTTGAGGGTATCTGATTGTCTTATTTTTCCCATGACTGAACAATGATTTTTGAGTTTGGGAGACAGTGTCATTACCGTAGCCTGTGAATGACAGGTACTATCAGCATTGCTGCTGATTTCAGCACTGATCTCTCTGGTCAAGGCTGTGATGTCAATTTCTCAATTGTAAAATTACCCTTTGCCTTCTCTCCATGCTGTTCTCTCTGTAAAGATGTTACTATGCAGAGTCCACAGTGACAGGAGGAGAATGCTATCCTCCATCTTTGGGGTAGGGTAGGGAATCTATGTGATTAGTTGGAACCCTGTACAAGATATTTGTCCTCATTTTAAAATATATTCAGTCTTTTATTTGTACTCTCATTTCTGTAGCTTTGTTGCTATTCAGTTAGTGGTTTTATTTTTAGAAATGTGTGTGTGTTTGCATGTGTGTATGTGTGTGGTGCGTGCGTGTGCATATTTAGGGAAGGAGAACTGTGTGGGGTTCATTCTCTCCTTCCATGTTTATGTGGGATTGAACTCTGGCTATCAAGCTGCTTTTACACATTGAGCCATCTCACCAAGCCGAGTCTTTCTTTTTATTCTTTACTTACCCTCTGTAACTACTGTGGACTCTTAGTTAGGAGTTTTATACATTAAAGCCAGTGGTGTCTGTCTCTAATCGAAGCACTTAGGGACAGACAGGAGTTTCAAGAATTCAAGATCAAAAATTCAAGGCTAGCCTCAGCTACATAGTGATTTTATGGCCAGCCTGAGGCACCTGAGAACTTGTCGTGAAAACCAACAGACAGAAACTGGTACTTTGGAATTTTATCCAGCACATCACACAAATCACTGACTTTCCCAGATTCAGTTCATTCCAGTTTAACCACAAGAAGCTCTTTCCTTGGGCTCCAGTGTCCCTGTGGGAATTCCATCATCTCGGTTTTGGTATCGATTTGCTTATTTTCAACATGTCCTTACTCTGGATATCTTCTTTCTCCTTAGTCTTTATTTCCCCTACACTGCAGACCTGATTTTTTTGTCAAGCAATATTTCTGCTTCCCCCCACCCCTATGCAGGTAACTGTCTCCTTTACAGTCAGTCTCACATGTCCAAGTGGTTAATAACTTTGCAATCATGTCAAGCATTTTTTAAGTCAACAAGACAACTATAGTATTTAAGAGCTTTTTATATGCGCTGTGAAGATAGAAGCCACATTTGCGTTTGACCTCTCTCTCATGTTACTGTGTTTGTGTGTTTGAAACGCTTCACACTTGCCAGCCCTTTTATTTTCAATGTTATAGTTGACTATGAGGACAAACACAATAGCACCCTGCCACAGTTCATTCCATATGAGGACAACATCTATAATGTTATTCAGAAGAAGGTGACATGGTATGAAGCATTGAAAGTGTGCTCTCAAAGTGGGGGACAGTTGGCAAGTGTTCACAACCCAAATGGGAAGCTCTTTCTGGAAGACATTGTGAACCGTGATGGATTCCCTCTCTGGGTTGGACTCTCAAGTCATGATGTAAGTCTCACTTTCCCTCCAGAAATTTCCCAAAACTGTAGCTTTGAAAATTAGAGATATTTAGCCTAAGATACTAACTCAAAATATAATAGTGTGTTAATACCTACTGGTTTCTTGCCTCTTATAGCATGAAATAAATAAAATTACAGAATGCAAGTGGCCCAGCCATCTCAGGGTTTCAGTGGGTTAATACCTCAACAGTATCTCTTGTAGGCTGTTTGATTTGGGGTTATATTGTTGTGGATCTAGTGATCAATCTCCTGTGCTCCATCTCTGAGCTTTGTCTTTGGTTCCTGAAGCTTGTTTGAGAAGGACCAGTTGGAAAGCTTCTATGAAGTAAATAGCATAGAATCAGGGAATCCTAAATTTCAGTATTAATGACACATCTGTCATTTATGCAATAGCTGATAGTTAATGAGTTATTTAAACTTTATAATCCTATTTCTTCATCAACAAAATCCGTTAATGGTGTTGTCTTTCATATTTTAACACAAAAATACATATAGCAGGCAATGAAAAATTCTTAATATGGTCAGGACCTATAGGACAAAAAGGTCTTGGATTTGGGAGGGGAGGACACAGGAGGAGTTAGAGAGGGGATGGCCAGGGCTGGAAAGATATAAATATAGCATCTGGTTTTGAAATTCTTTTAAAAAGATCAATATGTTGATAACACATTTTTGGTACTGTTATTAGGATTCTGTATGTATGTACTTCTAATAATATCTGGCATGCCAAAATAGCCATGCATTGAGTGCTGTGAGCCTAGTTAAGTAATCTTTAGAAAGAACGGTGAAAAATAAAAGGAAGAAAGGAAGGATAGACAGAGGGAGGGAGAGAGGGAAGGAAGGAGGGAGGGAAAGAGAAAAGGAAGGAAGGGAAAGAAAGAAAGAAAGAAAGAAAGAAAGAAAGAAAGAAAGAAAGAAAGAAAGAAAGAAAGAAAGAAAGAAAGGAGCAAAGAAACAAAGGAAGAAACAAACAAAGAAACAAAGAAAGAGAGAATGCCATAAGTTCATAGGTTCAAGCAAATACTGTAAGTGGTCTCCTCATGTCTTGCTCCTTGGGGATAGTTGCCCTTTTCAGCCTCTGCTGTGCGATGTCCTCTGTAATGTACCCAGACACAAACCACAAAACTATGGCACTCAGGAAACAGTCTTCAAGGCCAGGATACAGCTCAGTAATGATGGTATTTGACTAACAGGTGAGCCCTAGGTTCAATTCCCAGCACCGCAAATAATGAAAAAAGAATAGTGTTTAACAGGATATGATAATGTTTCAGAACAGTGTTTAAGAACAACATGAAGATTTTCAGAACAACAAGGTATTTGAGTTCTAAATCTTAAATTATGCTAAAAAGGTAAATGGAAGCCATTTGCATGTGTTTCATAAATCCAGCCTTTAAGTAAATCCAGAGAGAGAATAGAGTGACTCTGTCTCTAAATGTAACATCCTGTTTATGTTTGGCCCGATCACATGCCCCAGATTGCTGTATCAAAAGCAAGCCTCCAACACTACAGATAGCCCTATACTTACAGTAGTATGAGCACATGTCAGCACTCAGCTCCTACCGTGTGTGCACTCTTCTTATGTTCTTTCTCAAGTCTCACATCTGAGCTCAGGGTGTCCACACTGTTCCCAAACAGGGAAGCGAATCGAGTTTTGAGTGGTCTGACGGCAGTGCATTTGACTACATCCCGTGGAAGAGCCCACAACCTCCTGGAGATTGTGTCGTCTTATACCCAAAAGGAATTTGGAGACGTGAAAAATGCCTGTCTGTTAAGGATGGTGCTATTTGTTACAAGCCTACAAAATGTAAGACTTGATTTTGAAGAACTGTGTATTTACTGAAATCTGATATAATGTATGCACATCATTATTTAATGAACATGTTTATAGATTTAAATAAGGCTTGTCCACAAATTGTATAAAAACACTTCCTGATTTTTTGTGATAAATATACAGTTGGTATCTCATGTCAGGAAATTTGTTCTCAAGAACACTTATTATATCACAAGTTACATTTTACTTCAGAATTTGAAGGTTTTTTGTTTTTGGTTGGTTGGTTTGGTTTAGTTTGGTTTGGTTTTTTTCAAGACAGGGTTTCTCTGTGTAGCCTTGGTTGTTCTGGAACTCTCTCTGTAGACCAGGTTGGCCCAGAACTTATAGAGATCTACCCTCCTTTGCCTCCTGAGGCTGGGCTTAAAGGTGTGTGCCATTACCAACTGGCAAATCTGAAGGTTCTTGCTTTACATAGAAATGAATCCCAAAGGCTGTGGTGTTCCCTAAATGACATCATCAAGAACCAGCTCCTCAGTTGTTAGGCACAGAAGGAAAGGAAATGTTAAGGAAAAGTATTGGAATATATGACATACAATAAAGCACACAGAAACAGGAAAATATCCCTTGGGCTCATCAACTACTTCACAAAGGGAAAAAGAACTTTCAGGTACCACCTCCTTCCTCCAGTATCACCATGAGGAGTTTAATGGATGTATTTGGTCAACAGCGGTGGGGAAAGTCCCCCACTACTCCACGTGTTGAACTGGCAGGGCCTTGGGGAGGGGGAACTCAAATAGGTACCATTGGGGAGGTGAACGAAAACAACTGAAATTTGAAAGGATTGATCCTGACTAACAGAAGTCAGAAGCAGAAGGAACTAGTCAGCCCAAGGTTCTTGATGGAGGAAATGTCAGAGGCCATTTTTTTTTCTGGAATCACAGAATCGACAAACAAGAAAAACCCCACCCACCTGTGGCGTGCAGAAACCACAGGGAGAGGTTTAAAGCAGTGTAGAATGCACAGCAGAGCTGCAGTCTGGGCTGGGCTCCCACTGGGACAAGGCCAGAAATTTGACTCAGATGATCTGCACTTAGTGCTCTTGAAAGGACTGACTCATGAGCCCTAAGAGACCCAACCTTCACTTCCTAGGGCTTCTAGCCTGACTCGGCTAAAACGCAAAACAGGTTGAGTGGAAACCAGAAGAATTTTTAAGAGGTTAAAAAAGATAGCATCTTTTGATTTGAGAGAGGAAAAAAATTGATTTTTACAATTTGTTTTTAATTTTGTAAATTAAAAAGTTACAAATTGCCAACTTTTTACTTGCAGTTGTGTCCTTAATGTCAGTTTTTATGTATCTATATAAATGTTGGTCTACGTTTTCACAATGAAAGGGAAGTCAAGGGAATGGATTTTAATTATTGGTTCAGAATACTTGCAGGCCTACCAAAGTCTGTATCTGCTTCTTCCCCAATTGATCTATGTGTTCTAAGCTGGTTGAATTCCATCCTCAAGGGAAAGCACTTCCCCCATCAACCATGGAGGTTTTGAAGTGTATTCCAAACATAACTAGAATGTGTATCGGTAGGGCCCAGACTGTGGCTTTCAACCGTGTGTGGACTGAGTTACAGGCCGCTCTCCACAAGCACAGGTTTCATGTGGGGGCATTTAATGAGATTTGAGGGAAGGATTTACCTTTCTGTGTGCATTATTACAGCCATGTCTAACATTTTTCACAGCTAAAGAGCTGTCCTCTAAGGCACAATCATCAAAATGCCCAGTGACAAAGAGGGGAGGTTCCCAGTGGATCCAGTATGGGGGTCACTGTTACTCATCTGACCAGGCATTGCACAGCTTCTCAGAGGCCAAACAGTTGTGTGAAGAACTTGGTAAGTTAAAATTCACTTGTTTTCTTTTGCCCACTCTTCACAATTTTTTTCCTTAAGGAAATAATGAGAGAAATTACCATATCTTGGAAAGTGCTTTAAAAGTATTTCTATTTTATAGTAGCATTACCACCTTATTGTCCGATATTAGGGAAACAGTTAAGTATTTTAACACATAAAATCTCAATGGGATTTTGCTATAATCATTTAAAATGATTGGTGGACTGAGGATATTGCTCAGTTGGTAGAGCTATGCTCGTCTAATGTCTGGGTCTGATCCCAGGGCCACATATACTGAGCTGCTGGTACATCCCTACAGCCCCAATACTTAGGAGGTTTCGAAGGCAGGAGAATCAGAAACTAAAGGTCATCCTCAGCAATATAATTCCAGGCTAGCCTAGGCTACATGAGACCAGGCTGTTCCCATACATATAGGTAAAGGCTTAAAAATAACAAAAATGAGAGTAAATACCAAAATCAGGGTAAATATATTGAAAGTAAAAATGGAAAGAAGTAAAAATGCTAAGTGATCTATTAATGTTAAGTATTAATATTAAGTAGAAGCAATAACAAATAAAAAATAGATAAACTTTGAGATGGTTAGAAAAGGGGGTCAAGAGGCAAAATATAATTGACTCCATAGTCCATTGCTGAGTTTTTAATATTAAGCTAGGAGTAAAGAGGGTAATTAAATCAGCTGATCATGTCCATCCATTCTGGATAGGAGTGTCCCACATCCTAAGAACCTAAATAAGGGACAAGACTTTATACTTCACATGTAGCCATTTCAAAAAAAAAAAAAAAACTCCAGTGATTGACTACTTCCTGTGAGGGACCCAGTCATTGCCTTCAGTCATATTGTAAAATGACTTCTAAGAGAGCCACCAATACTATCTCAAAAATCAAAGCTATTTCGTTTCCCTGGGTAACTATGCGGATGGCATTTACCTCATTTATTCTGCTAAATATTGTATACCCATAGGCTGCTTAGAATGCATTTTAGTTACTGCTTAAGTGCATACCAGGTACTGTATGTGGAAACCTTGGTATGGTGTCCATGTTTACACATGATGGGAACTATTATAAAAAATACCTATGTGTTTACTTATGTGGTCTGCCTCTTCCGCCTGAGGGAGAAGATAAGAACCGCTGTTGTAGATGCAGCGTGTGAGCAGGTCTGGTAAGACATTTGAGCTGTTGAGGGTCTTGGTTCATTTTCCAGCTCTCACATGCTCTCCCTAAGTGATGCTGTAGAAGGCACAGAACTGTTTCTCTTCTCAGAGAGAGCATTGAGAATGAAAATAGTACCTGACAGTCCGGGACAGTTGGGAGCATCGTAGGAATGAATGAAGTGGCATAAAGTTTGCACTTGTAGCACAATGCCCTGAAGATGGTGAACTCGAAACCACTCTTCTTTCAAAGGTTTCAATCGCCTTCTTAAATTCTCTAGCTGGCTGGCTCTGTAAGCCTGGAGAAATCACTGCATCTTCTTGACTCTCAGTTTCCCTCTCTGTAAGAGGTGATAATACCTCTGGCATTATCTCCTAGGTTGCATAATGTTAAACATATTCTATACAAGGCAAAGCCTTTCTTTCCTTTTAGGATGCATTTCCTAGATTACTTATTCTTTATTTCTATTCTATCTGACATTACTTATAACACTGTTTTCTGTACGTGTTTAGGAAACATATTAAGCTTAAAGAATATTAACTGGTTCAATCCTGTGTCACTTTTGGGAACTCAGGCTGGTTATAAGCAGCCAGTTTTGTGTGAGGTACTAAGGTAGGAGGGAACAAGCCAGGCTTCTTTTAATTCTATTTTGAACAGAAGCAAATTTAAACCTAAGTTATACAAAAATGCTGTTTTTAAGGCAAGTCCTAGAAATACAGAGGTGGCATTTTATTCATACGGTCACAAACCCCCGTTGTCAGAGCCAGCTGCTCAAACACAAAGGCCTTACTGATTTGACAGACGACAACAACAACAACAATACTGCCACATACATGTTTCTAAATTATAAAGCTTCTTTACACAAAATTTAAATTTAAAAATACCTCTAACTTCTTTGGAGCTTTATTTGTGGAAACACTTTTAATTTTTAACATAAATGCCAAAAGCTTAAAGATAGTCTCTGAATGAAGCTTCAATTTCCCAATGGTCTCATTCACAGCAGATACTGGTTTTTGTTTTTGTTTTTTTTTTTCCCAAAGGGTCCAGTTCAGAATCAGTCAGTCGGAGTTGCGTTCTTCATATGCTTAACACGGAGATAATCAGGTATAATTTGTTTTCCTCCAACAGATCATTCGGCGACTGTTGTCACCATAGCAGATGAAAATGAGAATAAGTTTGTGAGCAGACTGATGAGGGAAAATTACAACATTACTATGAGAGTTTGGCTTGGCCTGTCTCAGCATTCACTTGGTAAGTGACACATCTGTGTGCTCCCGGTACGGAGTTCTGAGGGTGAACATGGCAGCCCACACCTGTACTCGAACACTCTGAACAGTTTCACAGTAGTTCAAAATTAAGTCTTCCCAGTGATGGTTTTTTTTTTCAGACACGCTGAGTTAAATCTAAAGAGAATTTGTGGGAGAACTTTTCAGTAAAGAACAGATGCAGGGTTTGAAAGATGAGGAGGGAATTGATAAAGAATGAGTTACGTACGTAAATTTGATAGTTTGTTTCATACTTTATGTAAAATAGAATATTAAATAATTAAACGTCAGCTCTAGAATATCAAGTAATTTTCAAAACAATGAGTGGACTCAATATCGGCTGTCTAAATGGATTGTAAATGGTGTTTGCACACTTACCACACTGTGGAAAAACAAATGTGGGTTGGGGAGCAGGCGTGAGCCCTCTTAACCCCTCCTCCAGTAGCATAGTTTTAATGACACGTTTTCTTAAGGGATGGAGGGATCTCTGCAGATGTAGTTGTCCCACAGTAAATACACAAGCAAGCATCCTGTACCTTTATCAAACACATGGATCACTGTCTAATAGAGGGCTCTATAAAGATGAAAATGGCGTCTCGAGAAACGGCTGAGTGGCTAAGAGCTTGCTGCTCTTACAGAGGATTCCTAGGGCTTTGTTTTGTTCTCCCCTGTACCCACACCAGGTGGCTCACAGCTCTCTCTTCCTCCAGCTCCCCTAGGTCTGCGTCCATAGACACCTGCTCTGACATGTACAGAAGCACACCTACACATAATTTAAAGTAATAAAAATACATCTTTAAAAAAATGAAAATATTCTTTTTCTCATTGTCCAAGACAGCAGTTACTAGCCACACTGAGCAGCTCGCCTGTGGGGAGTGCAGCTAAAGGCTTAAAAGGCTTTTGCTTATTTTTAATACATTTCACCGTATGTGGACATGTTCATTTGTATGTGCATATATGTGCACATGTTTGTGAAGGTCAGAGGTCAATGTTGGGTAGCAGCCTGAATTTCCTCTCCACCTTGTTTATGTGTGCACGTGTTCATGTGTATGTATGTGTATATAGGCCAGAAGTCAATATCAGATATCTTTCTCAGTTACTCTCCACCTTATTATTTGAGATAGAAATTTTCACTGAGCCTAGAGCTCACTGATCCAGCCAGAGTAGCTGGTGAATAAAGCCCGGGGATCCCCCTCTCCGTACCTCACTATTGCTGGGTTCGTAGGCATGTGCCATGGTGCCCAGTTACTTTACATGGGTTTACAGGGGATCAGATTCATACCCTTGTGCAAACACTTTACTGAATGAGCCATCTCTACAGCCTGTGAGGTTTTGTTGATTTTTAAAAATAATAGCATTATATAAAACAGTAGTTCTCAACCTTCTTAATGCTGCAACCCTTTAATACAGGTCCTCATGTTGTGGTGATCCCCAACCATAAAATTATTTTGTTGCTACATCATAACTGTAATTTTACTACTGGCTTGAATCATAGTGTAAATACCTGATATGCAGGATATCTGATATTCAACCCCCAAAGCAGTTGTGATTCTCGGGTCGAGAACCACTGATGTAAAATAACAACCTTCTAAGAAAATGGGTTATCTGAACCTCATAGGTTTTTTTTTTGGGGGGGGGGTTAGCGCTGTGATTAGTAGCAATAAATATAACTGCCCTTATCATTTGTCTTCAGATCAGTCTTGGAGTTGGCTCGATGGGTTAGATGTGACATTCATTAAATGGGAAAATAAAAGTAAGGATGGCGACGGGAAATGTAGCGTTTTAATAGCTTCAAATGAAACCTGGAGAAAAGTTGAATGTGCGCGTGGCTATGCAAGAACTGTCTGCAAAATTCCTCTGAGTAAGTAGGCAACCTGTGCTCACGGTAGCACTGAACAGAACGAGCCGAGGAGTAAATGTAGGGGTGTTCTTGTAGCTCACTGGGAAAGCCCAGGCTTAGTGAGCATGGGGCCCTACGTTCAGTCAGTACTTCCAGTAAATAAATAGCGCATCTGTGTGCTTGGTTTTTACCCACATGATCTTAAGTGTTTATAAAGCATATCTTTAATGTTCATTAAATCAGAAATGTTTTAACGATAAATATATAATACGTCTAGAATTCCAAAATGAAACTGTTAAAACAGCCAAATTCTGTAGAGAGCTCCTCTAACTAAAAATGGGAGCTGCCATAGGAACTGGGGAAGAAACTGCTTTGAGAATGTCCTCACGGTGTGTTTTGCTTGACGGTTTCCCTGTGTAGAAGTGTGAAGGTCTATTTCCCGTTGTTGCTTAGAGAAGCAACTTGTGGACAAAGGACTGCCCTTTGGCTTGAGCAGAGGGACAGAGCCCCTGGTGCTGGGGAACGAGCAGGCAGAGCAGCAGGAGCAGGAAGTTGCCTGGTCACATGTCTATCCACACACAGAAAACAGAGAGCTGGATGGAAGTGGAGTAAGGCCACGCCCTCCAAGCCTCCCCGAGGCGCAGCTCCTCCAGCAAGGCCCCACCTACAAAAGGGGGGCACAGACTGAGACTTTGGGGCTCATGTTAAATGTCTCATTTAAACCAGCACAGCTAGTTTGCTGCCTCTTTCTCAGGTCCTATAAAACTTTCATAATCATTTTGTTTTGTTTTTCTGTTTGTTTTTCCTTTTTTTTTTTTGAGGCAGGGTCTCACTGTGTAGTCCTGTCCATCCTGAAACCACCACTATGCCACTATGTAGACCAGGCTGTCCCTGAACTAAGAGATTTGCCTGCCTCTGCCTCCCAGGACTGGGATTAAAAACATGTGCCACTACACCTGGCTATAAAGAATTTTAAAACTGCCTAAAACTAGATCTAACTATTTAAAATATTCATGGTATCTATATGAAATTGCAGTATGAACTTTAGTTTTTGTCATGAATTGATACATTAAACAACTTTAAAAATATTATTGAGCTTCATTTATGGAGAAAGGCTGTAAACCTTTCACATTAACATTTTAAAACAACTAACATAGGCTTCCATTTTGGTATATAACTGTTAAAGATAACTGTCCAATTGCAGTGCATGGTTTACATCTATGCATGCGTTGCTTTGCTCCATTCTGTTTTCTATGATGAAATGCATCTGAACAAGGCAGATCAGCTACATGTTATCACAGACTTTCCAGTTCAGAGAGGAAGATGGATTAGTGACAAACAGGTCAAGTTTTTCTTTAAAGAGAAGAAAACAACAAGTAGTTAGAAACTCCGTGTAGTAAAAACCAAATGATGGTTATTATATATGCTCTGGGGAGGGGAGGGGGGATCAACTAGGAGAGATGCTGAGACTGAGTTCACAAAGGTCAGTCCCAGCATGCTCCGGGACAGGCAGAGCAGAGAGGAGCCAGGTAGAGAGGATCCAGTGGCAGAAGAAGCCAATGAAACTCAAAGAAGAGCTGGTGCCAGGCAGGCAGAGACCCTTAGGAGGGCTGCAAACAATGGTCAAGGAGTCCTGGCTCCTTTCCGAGTGGAGTGGAAAGCAACTTGCACATTTGGAGGACAGCAAACAGCATTGGAGTGATAAAAAAATTACAGGAAGGTTACAGTTCTGGTCTTGGCCATCATGGGAAAGTACAATCTGCAGCTGAATATATGAGAGAGATGGATAAACAGCATAGGGGCAGAATAGAAACAGAAACAAGAGTAACTGTTGCATTTCTCTTACAATGTCTCAATGTCTGGATTCCAGGCCCGGATTACAGAGGCATAGCCATCCTGTTCGCTGTGCTGAGTGTCTTAGCGCTCATCAGCGGACTGATTTGGTTCCTCTTGCAAAGATCCCATTTCCGCTGGTCAGGCTTCTCTTCGGTTCGGTATGAGCATGGAGCCAATGAAGACGAGGTGATGCTCCCTTCGTTCCACGACTAAGTTCTTCTGAGTTTGTTCATTGACACTGGATGTTCCGGAAGCGAGATGAGCCACTTAACATTGTCCTGCAATCAGTGTTTACTATGTTTCTAAGTAGAAGTCTTAGCAATGCGTTCAGTGAGTGAGTTACTCAGCTGCGGCCCTAACAGCCAGCCGAGCTAAGGAGTCGGTTGCCAGAGCAGAGAGGACGTAAAGCCAAAGTGGATGTTCAGATTGTTTACAGACAGATAAATTTAGCTAATGTGAATTTTCTCTGTAAGAATGCAGTTGCTAAGTAGATATGTACATATTTTAATAGCATTTTAACAGCCTCATAGGAAATTAACTCTGTCAGTACTAGTAGGCTCCACATCTACCTTTTATGAGCATCTAACCAAATGTAAAGTTAGTACCTCAGGCAAAAACTCAACTATAAATAAGATTGATGATGCTTCAAAATAGCACTGGGAAAAAAATACAAACTAAGGCATATTTTTTACACAGAAAATGGAGCCTCTTGGAAGATGTTCCTTATATTATTTCAAAGATATTTATACTGGTATTAATTAATTGTTACATTTCTTTTTTAATTACTTATACTCAGTGGGGTTTTTTTGTTTTTGTTTTTTTTTGTTTGTTTGGTTTTTTTTTACTTAAAGTTAATGCTTCCTAAAGTTGGGAATGTTACCATTAAATTGACTAGGCATGCTGTATCAGCATGTCTGCGTTTGGTGATTTTCTTTTCTACAAGGACCTAATTACAGATGAGACTTAAACTTTTACAGTTTATGTATTTCACATAGGAGATCAACTTTTTGTTGGTGGTGGCAGAGTTTTTTGTTTTGTTTTGTTGATATTTTGGTTTGGTTTGGTTTGGTTTGGTTTGGTTTGGTTTGGTTTGGTTTGGTTGGGTTGGGTTGGGTTGGGTTGGGTTGGGTTGGGTTGGGTTGGGTTGGGTTGGGTTTTCGAAACATGGTTTCTTTGTGCAACAGAGTCCTGGCTATCCTGGACTGGCTTTGTAGACCAGGCTGGCCTCTAATTCAGAGATTCCCCTGCCTCTGCCTAGGTAGTGCTGGGATCAAAAGCTGTGCCACCACCCCCAGCAGGCAGCATATCACCTTTTAATGAATGTATTATGTTTTTGCCTTTTTATCTGAGCAAAACATAAAAGTGACCTTTGAATAATGTTGTTTGCTGCTTCTGTATTTGTAAACAATAAGTTTCTAAGACAATGAAACTCAGAACTCTGTGATTCATATGGAAATATTTAAAACTTAAATGATCAGTGACACATTATTTTGTGAATGTAATTTCCTTTTGAACACCTGGAATATATTTTTACTAGTAGTGTCCAATAAATATGGTGACTTTTTTATTCAGTGTTTCATGTTTATACTTTAGAGTATTTTTGTACAAGATCCAGATTTATTTTGCTTGAGGTGTTTATGCTATCATAAAGTTGTAAATAATTTTCTAAGATTGTTTTAATGTAATCTACAAATATCCTAAAATATTTTTCTTGAGGCCTCTTTTAAATAATTACTAGGAGTTTCTTCACAGAACTAAACTAATGCCATGTGACCACAGATGTGATTATGGCTGCTGCAGTGGTAAAGTTAGCTTGACTTTTAAAACTGTTGGAGTTGATCCGTGCATGCAAAAGCATCTCTAAATTAGGCTTGATTGTATCCCATATCTAATACGATGAGAAAGTGTCCAGCTATTGCAAGTTAAGGTATTATTTAAAGACTTTGTGAGCACTTTTTAAAGAATAAATCTTTGTATCGCTAAATGATTTTAATCTCCTTGGTTCAGTGTTTCTCTTTAGTGGGTGGTGTATGTGGTGTGTGTGTGTGCACGCATGCACACACGCAGCACATGCACATTAGTGTGAAAGTGACCCAAGGAGGACATCAAGTGTTTTCCTCTATTGCTGTCTGTCTGCTTATCTTGCTGAAAGCTTGCCATTTTGTCTAGGCCAGTTAGCCAGCAAGCTCCAAGAAAACACTTGTTTCTGCCCAGAAATGTTGGGGTCTCAGATATGCAGTCATGTATGTCTCTTCAAATGGGTGCTGGGGATTTGAACTCTGGTCCTCATGCTTGCATACCAAGCACTCTTAAAGAGCTAGCCCTCAAGCCCTCAATGTGTCTCTTAGTATCTCTCAGCAGTGATTCCATCTGTGTTATATTATTTTTGCATTCTTTGTGCTCCTCTTAGAGGATCCTGCGCACTTAGAGTTGAAAAGCACAGTTCCAGGGATCCATTACATGATGTACTTGAAAGTCCTTCTCGACAAGGCCAGACCTGCCCCCTAGTGGTTTCTTTCCCCATTTCCCAGTCCCAGCTGCCTCAAAAACTTATGACTACCCTACCCATTCCAGCCTTCCCTGACTAACCCAGTTACTGCATAAGGTTTGGTCAAATTTGTCTCTTAAAGCCAGACCCCTAAAAAGGCAAGTCAGTAGAGCCAATAGAAACTCATAGAGAACAAATATCAAAGGGATCCTAACATTCTCTCACGTCTTCCTCCCTTTCCCCAGCAATTCCCTCCTCCTTCCTCAAACAGTCTCTGGAAATTCTCCCTACTAAGTGGTTACTGGGTTGGCATGGGGGTTTGTTTGTTTGGTTTTGTTTTTTGTTTTTTGTTTTTTTTTGGGGGGGGGGTTGTTTTTGTTTTTGTTTTGGCTCCATTTGGGTTTTTATTTGTTTGTTTTAAAACATGATTTCTTAGTGTAGCCCTGGCTGTCCTGAACCCTATAAACCAGGCTAGCCTCAAGCTCAGAGATCCACCTACCTCTGCCTCCTGAGTGCTGGGATTAATGGCATACACCACCATGCCTAGCTAAAGAAAATGAGAAATAAAAAAAAAAAAGAAAATAATTTTTTTGGCTGTTATATTTTAGTAAGCCCCAGGCCTGACTCTTTCGCTGAGATTTCCTAGAGACTGTTGGAGATCCCTAATCCCTCATCTTAGGTTGCTTTTAACAGTAAGACCCTCTTGTCGGAGCAGAGACTTCATTGCTATAAGTTAATGCAGTAACCGTATCCTGCTTAGGAACAAAAATTTGAATTTGCTCTCACATGAAAGGCTTTATAAACTAAGTCTTTATGAAAGCACTATGTCATAAACACAGACAAACACATTTGTGTCAATGCACAATGTCAAACTGGATTAAATGTTAAATCACAAGGCATAGCAGTTTCAATGGCAACAGTTTGCCAGACATTTTCTGCTTCCTTCATAATTCTGTTTCAGGCAAACATGTGTTCATATATTGCAATCTCAATTTTTTTAAATTTATTTTTATTATGCATATGTGTTGGACTGTGCACATGGATGCAGGTGGCTGCAGAGGCTGAAACAGGGCCTTGGATTCTCTGGGTTTGGTATTACAGGCACTGTGTGCTTTCCAGAAGATGCTGGGAACCAACCTCAGGTCCTCTAAAAGGGTAGCACATAACCTCTAAGCCTTCTCTCCAGCCCCTGAGCTCAGTTTGTTAATACAAACTCTTAAAACATCTGTCACCCGTCACGTAGCTACATGTATGTATGTATGTATGTATGTATGTATGTATGTATGCATGCATCTATCTATCTATCTATTTATTTTAGGCTTTCATGGTTGAGAAGAGACCACAGCAACTCTTATAAAGGATAACATTTAATTGGGGTTGGCTTACAGTTTCAGAGGTTCAGTCCATTATCATCATGGCCGGAAGCATGGCAGCGAGAAGGCAGACATGGTTCTGGAGGAGCTGAGAGTTCTACATCTGAGTCCACAGGCAGGAGGGAGAGATTATGTGTCACACTGGCCAGACATATATGAAACCTTAAAGCCTCCCTCCAAAGTGACACACTTCCTCCAACAAGGTCACACCTCCTAGTAGTGCCACTCTATAAGCCAAGTATTCAAACACATGAGACTATAGGGGCCATACCTGTTCAAACCACCCCATTCCACTCCCTGGCCCCCTTAGGCTTCTAGCTAGCTATAACATAATGCAGAAATGTATTCAGTCCCATACGGGCCCCCATAGTCTGTAACAGTCTCAAACATGTTTAAAGGTCCAAAGTTCAAGGTCTCTTCTGAGATTCATGCCATCTCCACAAAATAATCTTCTGTAAAGTAAAAATAAAAACAGATCACGTACTTCCAACATACAATGGCACATGGTATGTATTACCATTACATAAGGGATGAAAGGGAGCACAGTGAGGAAATACTGGACCAAAGCTAGACTGAAAACCAGCTGGGCACACTCCAAACTCTGCATCTCCATGTCTGATGTCAAAATGCTCCTCAGATCTCCAGCTCCTTTCACCGTTGCCGACTACAGCACGTTTCCTTGTTAGTGGGTTTTCTCTGCAGGTATCCCGCGGCTCTGGCATCTCTAACTTTGTGTGGTCTCTAAAGCAATCCAGGCTTCACCTTCATAGCTTTGCACAATGACCTCTCTGGGTCTCCACGCGGGGACACTCCTGTCACATGCTTGGCCTCGACAACTTTCCTCAGTCGCAGAGGGAGACTCCATAACCCCTTTCTACTCTCCTTGACTCTAAAGCCAGGATCACACGGCCAAAGCTGCCAAGTTCTGCTGTTTGCTGAGGCTGGAACACGGCCCTCTGGTTCAGTTACATCATCACCAGCTTTCTGTTTTACACAGTGTAGACTTAGAGGGGGAATCTCAACAGCCTGATCACAACGTAAAACTGATGATCTGTATGTACACTTGACTACAATTCCCTGAGTATCTGATTAAAACATTTTCATTATATCTCCACCCCCACAAACTGTGTGTTCATACATTTCTTTGTTTCTCCTGAACTAATCACAAGTAGAATTTGAGAAGCTCTCCCAGTTTTCCAACCAGTTATATTTATGCTAGTTAATATGAAGTAGACATCATTTTTTGGCTCCAAACTCTAAACCCAGAAGTCACTCTCAAATTCTCTTCATCATCTTCCTAGACCAACAGTGTTCTCAGTTTTACCTGGACTCCTGACAAGGAGGGACAATATTGCCAGTCACTGACTGTCTTGTTTCTGGTCTTGGTCATTTTCTCCCTGAATCTAATGTAGATTGATAATCAGTCCTAGGTCTGGTTGATTCCTCTGGCCAAGGAGCCTTTTACTAGAATGTAGCCTCAAGGCGGTGTTTACAAAAGAACAGAGAGCTCAGACAGGAGAGTGTGGCGATTGGTAAACCATGGGTGAGCCCAGCCAGTAGAAATCCAGCAGCAGAGTGGAGCCAGAGTCTCCAGGAAGTAAGTCAAAAAGAAGAAATTTAGAAATGGGAAATGTGAGATTTTGAGAAATATAGTGAAAGTATAGAAGTATTCTGAGAAGTATATTCTGAGAAAGTTGTTTGACAAGTTTAGTAGAGATAAGCCATAGTGGGAGGAGGCTGGTCCATAGCAGCTTTGAGCCTGCCTGCCTTCCTTCCTTCCTTCCTTCCTTCCTTCCTTCCTTCCTTCCTTCCTTCCTCCTTCCATCCCTCCCTCCTTCCCTCCCTCCCTCCTTCTGTCCCTCCCTCCTCCCCTCCCTCCCTCCCTCTCTCCCTTCCTCCCTTCATCCCTTTTTCCCTGCCTCCCTCCATCTCTCCCTGCCTCTTTCCTTCCTTCCTTCCTTCCTTCCTTCCTTCCTTCCTTCCTTCCTTC